CTGTTAAATGCCATGTTCATATAAACAGCAAGTATTACAAAACAAGTATGATAAAACTAATTTGATATAAACATTAAAAACTTCCTGCTCCATATGACAAACCCTCATTATTTTTATTTTCACTTCCCTTACTCTTTTTAACTCCACGCAGGAACTTGCGACGCATCCTATACTTCTCACCATTTTTTCGACTTGCATTTTTTAATCGTGAACGATTTTTGTCTTTGCAACCAAGCTCAGTGTAGCTGCCTCTCTCCATCTGCATTTTATCATATATTTTTAATGTGGCTAAATTTCCAATATTAAAATGAGCAACTGCATCATAAGCAGCAATTTCCAACTGTACTAGTTTTACAAATGTATCTTTTGGAACACGATTCCATATTGTTGCATTGAAAGACTCATTTTGATTCTGAGTTTTGCCATGGAGGCATTTGCTGAGTAAATTTTCATCTTGTAAAGCTATAAAGGTTGGTTTAACAAACTTTATAACACTCATGGGTAGTCCTGGTCCTGGTTTATAATTTTGGGTATTATTCAACTTGTCAAGATGATATTGACACCATGTACCTGGCTCCTTTGGACAAAATGTGTGATAACTATGTTCTTTTGATGATGCCACATGAAAAAGTGCAGCCATCACAGCAATCTGCATTCCTTTTAGATTTTCCTATATTTGAACGTATTGCAATACCATAATAGTTTTGCAGCTTATCAATAACAGCATCAGTTAACTTTCCTTTCCCTCGTAGTCCCTTCTCTCTCTTTTTTAATTCACGTAATCGTGTTCCAACGCGCTTCTGGACATGGCCAATGCATTCTTGTTTAACCACTTTTGTGCCATCATAAACATTTTCAATAGACAAAAAACTTTTTGAATCCCCATCCCCATAAAACTCAGTGTATCGCATTTTATTTAATTCTATAGATCGATTAAAAATTTTTTCTGTGCCAACCAATTCCATTGATGGTGCAGATCCATGATGATTGTTTGTACAAGTATGGTCTGCTATAAAACTTGCATATTTCTCTACGTTTGAATGTTTCCATATTCTGGCATTAATACAAGCCTGGCAATATTTACTCATTACCTCAATATCTAGTACTCGACCTGTGTCAATAGAAATTGCTGCAACAATACCATTATTTGAACTAAATCCACGCCGCTGCCAAGTACCATCAACAGATACACCTGCATCACATAATATATCTGCTTGACTATCTAAATGAGGCAAAATAGATTGCTGCTGTCTGACGATTGGATCTAGTTTTTTCAATGTTCGTATTTCTTTAACAGCTTGATGCATTATATTTTTGGCAACTTTTTTGATTACAACTTGATAATTAGAAGCAATATTATTGTAACTTTTTTCTGTCATAGGGGGAGGATGATTTAGTAATGTAAGAAATAGTTTCAAAGATTGATAACCTTTTCCTATTCTACGTATACTGTAAAACATTCTACTATTAATGTCGAAACTTTTTGTTTTTGATCTTTTTTTGGAAGTCCAGAACAATTTAAACCAACCACACATAGTACACTTCAATTCAAGTTCGAAAGCAATTCCTAATTTCTGCTTTTGATTAAGCTTTACTGAATTATGTGAACACTCTGGGCACAAAAGAATCCTAAAAGTTTCAGCTAACAATTCCATATCAACTATTCGGTTGCCTGTAATGTTTTTTGAACAGCAGTTATTAACAACTTTAACCATTGAACCATTTAACTTTGTATAAGAAACTGTTGTTGCTATGTTGTCTTTATTTGTAACTTTAGAGTTTTCAGTAAAATTTTTAGAGTGTTGGTTACCATAAAACTTCCTACTTTTATGTCTTTTAGATCGAAACTTACGAGATGTTTCCATTTCAATTTGTAAATATTTTTCAACTTTTTAGTTATACTAGTTACATAAATATACAAAGCAATAGATAGAAATCTTATAAATAGCATAGATAGATAAATATACATAGCAAAACAGCATAGAGATTATCTTATAAAGCATACTACCTTGTTATAATACTGAAAAATAAAAAAATATACATAAACCAATTTTGTAAAACATAAACAAACATTCTAACAAGACCAGCCTGTCAAATCAGTAGTTTAATTAGTTAAATAACTCCATTATGCTTATTACGTCTTGTACAAACAAAAAGCCATCTGTACAAACAAAAAGCCAAAATCAACTTTGAAAAAAGGGCTTAAAAAGATGAAAAACAACATTTAAAAACGGTTGCTATGCGCGTTGCTAGGGTAATTTAAATAATGAACATCTAAATAAATGAAATTTTGACCAATATCAGCATGGATAGCAAAAATTTAAAAATCAGCAATAGTTTCTACGATAAATTTGAGTTAAAATAAGTGTATTTTTGAAAAATTAATTTTTTCAATAATTTACACTTTTTTAATAGGGTTATGCCCCCTTAAGTTGACATGAAATCTAATGTTTTAAAAATTTCTTAGATATTATTTACATTTTGTAAACATTCCTAATGTAAGAATGCTCTGAACTTGTTGGTTATTTTGATTTTTGAATTAAACAATACAGTTTATGTAATGTTGAGTACAAATGAAATTCAAAAGCTTCTTTGCTTGCACCTTAAAAATATTTTTTGTTTCAGATCTTGGGGCCGTTGACTTTGAATTGGAAGGAATAAAGGGAAGTCAATTGCTTTCAAGAAAAGAAGCTAATGAAATTAGTTTTTTTCCTGCTTTCGAAGATTAAAAGTTTATTACTACCCCAGACAGCAAGCTTACATTGGCCCGATGTAAGTTTTAACATTGGCAAGTTTATTCCGTTGGGCCAACATTTAGCCAATGTTTTTTTCAGCGTATTTTTTTCAATTCTGCAAATCTGTTTTTTGCAAATATCGTACTATATTGGGCCAACATTTCACCAATGTTTTTTTTTCGGCGTAATATTGCAATTCTACAAATCGTTTTTTTTTAATTATCGTACTACGTTGGGCCAACATTTGGCCAATGTAGTTTGAGCTTAATATTTTGCTGTTCTTACATTTATACCGTAGCCAATATTCGGCCAATGTAGTTTCGGATTATTATATACTTTTAAAGTTTCGAAACATTTTTTAAAAATGGTATCGTTTGAGAGAATAAAAAAGGTCTTGATACTATTATATATCTTTCCATTTATTTAAATTATAAAAATAAAAAAAAGAAGCTATATTTATTAATCTTCTAATAAGAAGTAAATTTTATCTTCTAATAAGATTGTTAATCTTCTAATAAGAAGTAAACTTCAAGAGATTCTCGTGACTTAATGTTTTATTTTTTTAAATGAAATATTTGTTAACATTTAAATATGCTTAAAACATTTTTTACTACAATCTAAATTATTAATGTAATAATAAAGGTAATAATCAAATTACTTTTGTGTAAGATCTTAAAGTTATTTTTTTATTTTTATTGCTGTATTGGCATTTCAAATGTTTGTTTTATTTAATAATCTTTATTAAATTTTATTATTATTTTATAAAATTTATTATTATTATTTACAAATAAATGAAACATTTCAAATGTTCGATTTATTTAATAAAAACGATATTTTAAATGCCTTTTTTATTAAATAAATCAAACATTTAAAATGTCATACAGTATAATTTTTTTTTTCATTATTTATAATAGTTTAGATCATATAGCTATTATAAGATATATTGTTAAAGGTATCAATAATATATATGTGGCATTGAAGTTGTTAGAAGCTGATATTTTACATTTTAAATATGTTTCTTTTGTTTGATTTTTTCTGTGTTTGATTATGAAACCCCATCTACTAACATTAAAACAGTGTACAAAAAGTGATGTTACTAGAACTTATATTTTACTTATGTAAAGCTTTCTAATATTCCATCTTTCCGAGGCAGAGGGACATTATTCTTGGTTTAATTATTTTTTAATTTAATATCTCTGGATATTTTTCATATTTAGTTTGCGTACAACAGTTAACAACATTAAGCTTATACATTAACTTTAGTTATAACTTATTTAATAATGATTTGATTTATAGATTTTTAAAGCAATACAAGATTGAATTTAGCATAAGGCTAAATTTCTGCTCTGGAGACAAAAAAGGAAGACAGCGAAAATGACCAGTCAAAATAAAGATTGAAGAGACAAAAAATTGTGTATATCTTGGTGTAGATGATTTATCCTCATTTTTTTATAATAAAACAAAAAATATTATTAAACTTTGGGATTTACCTGTAACTCTAAAATCTTTACAGAAGTTTAATGTTTGCTCTGAGAAGTTGAATGAACAAATTTATTAAATGGTAAGTGTCTAATGATTGAAAATCATTAGACATTTACCATTAATCATTAGACATTTACCATTTTTTAAAAGTGAGGTTATTTGAAAAGAATATTTTTTTGAAAATATTCTTTTCAAATAACCTCACTTAAAATAAAAAAATATTAAGATAAAATAAAGATTTTTTTAGATAAAATAAAGATTTTTTTTTAGATAAAATAAAGATTTTTTTAGATAAAATAAAGATTTTTTTAGATAAAATAAAGATTTTTTTAGATAAAATAAAGATTATTTTAGATAAAGTAAAGATTTTTTTTAGAGAAAAGAAACAATTTTTAGATAAAATAAAAATAAAATTTTTTGCAGGAGAAATATTTTTCACTCCCTTGTAAAATTTTAATTTTGTGACTTGTCACATTTTCAAAATCCAACGCTCAATTAAGCTATTATGTTTTTTTTGGTGCTACCCATTTATTTTTTCTGAAACTTATGTTTTTCTTAGTGTTCATTTTTAGTCGTCATTGAAGTACAACTTGGTAAACTACAAAACACATCAAATTCAGTTATAAAAATTTGAGTAACAAAGGTATACTAATTATTGTATTGCCTGAAAGAGTGTCATTGCTATTAAAAGCAGTGAAGAATTCAAGTACTCTGGAAGAAAAGAAAATTCATAAGTAAATGGTAAATATTTGTTTATAATTTTTTTATGCATTTTGTATATCTTAGTACAATTTATATACTTTAAATAAAATACTCTTTGAAGATTTTTTGTAAATTACATTTTATATTAATTTAAGTCTAAATAAAAGTTACTTTAATTATTGCCAGGTTGTGTATTTTTGCAGGTCAATTATTTGGCACAAATCGGAGTTAAAGACAAAGGAGATTGTATATTTTATTTGCTAAGAATAGTTTTTTAAAATGGCCTAGTTGTAAAATTAAACTATGCAGGGAGAGGACAAAAAATTGGAATAGAAAAAATGTTGATTGCATATGCTGCTATTGGTAAGTGGTTTAGAAAAGTTTATTTTTTCAGTTTTAATTTTGCATTACAGAATTACTTTCAATTTGTTATATTTCTTTGGTGCATAATTAAACAAACAACTATTTTTTTTTTTGCAGAAACTGTAAAGTCAAATAGGCATGGCTTATGCAGACATGTGATAGAGATAGATGAAGAAAAAATAATAATCGTGGGCACCAAATATCATAAGCTATACACGATTCAATAACAAGTAGCTCAGCCAATATCGAAACTACTCTATAAATTTTATTGTGAATTTTTTTATTTAAAACTCAATGTGTCAGTTTTTGGTTTAAGTTTAGTGTTTGCAATATGTATATTTAACAAATAAATTATGTTAAATAAATAAATTTTTATACTTGTATCAAACATTCTTTTTTTTCTCTATAAATTTTCAATGTGGCGATGCAAATCATTTTATTTGTAACAACGATCTAATGTTGCATAAAACGTTTGGCCGATATATAACATACGATATTGGGCCAATGTTGTATACAACGTTAGGCCAATTTTGTATACAACGTTGGGTCAATGTTGTATACAACGTTGGGCCAATGTTGTATACAACATTGGCCTAACGTTATATACAACGTTGGGCCAATGTTGGGTAAACGTTGTATACAACATTGGGCCGATGTTGTACGCAACATTGGGCCAATACCTAACCAATGATCAAACCTGCATTGGACCAACATCGACTTTCAACGTTGGGCCAATGCATCATCATGCATTGGCCCAACGATGGTCCAAAATAAGCTTGCTGTCTGGGACAGCAAGTAATAGTGTATTTCCCATACTCAAAACAACAAACTAAAACGGATTGATGGTACTATCAATTGTTAAACCCAGTTTATGCACAATATTTGAACAGTACTGGAATCAATAAAATCACTTAAAAAGCGGATTGAGAAAATTTTGTTGCATACACTTTGTTGTCACCATAATTATGAAGTTATCCTTTTTCATGTTTTAGGCTGTGTTTTGGAGGATCTAATGGTCTTAAAATTAAACTATTTAAGCTTTTAAACAACTTTTGGTGTATTGTACTGATTTGCAATAATGTACTGATTGTCAAATACATTTTGATACCAATATGTATAGTAAAATGATATTAGCAATAATTACTTAAAATTTCTGCAACTATTACTGATATTTCTAAGCATCGCGCCAGCATATAGTATTATTTTCCGTTTACCTGGTGCGCGCTATCATGTACCCTGGTTGGCCAGGTCTATGTATACCATAAAAATATAAATGGTTCATCATTAGTACCAGGAATGACTCTCAGTTTACAAACAGTGAACTGAGAATAATTCTTCATTTCACTGTTCATTTTTCAAATTAAATTAAAAGTAATCAATATTTATTATTTTAATTTAAAATTAATAATCTATATTTACTTTGAGTGGGTGTTGTGCGACAATAATGCAAAAAGTAAAAGTTTAAGTAACTAATGTTCAGTTCAGCAACAACTTTTCATCTGCGCTTTTTTCGGTAATTCTTCCAGGTAAATTTTGAAAATATCAGTAACAGATTTCTGCTTATGATTAGAATCCTGACTATTCTTATTCCAAAAAAAAAACATGTTTTGAATCAAACCGTTTAAAAAACATTTAACTCCTGGCCATCAATTTAAAAGGTCTGGAAGGTCTGGAACAGAGCTAAAATTTGACTATGAGCAGAAGGCGTATACATCCATGGGAAACTCAGAAAGGGTAGAGTGTTTGAAAGGCAAACAAAAGGCATTATTGTTATTTATTTTTAAACGCTTTTTACTTAAATGATTAAGTCATTTAAAAAGCAAGAAGAGAAAGTTTGAATTATAAGGATTTTAACCCAGTGTCCTAGTAATAATAGTAGCCCCGAACTTTATAAAATGACTATTTGATACCATAAATGATCGCTTGCTTAAGAATATACCGAGGCCCTAAATATCTTAATCCGCAACTGTTTTAAACAACTACGGTCTTTTATATGGGTATAAAAAACTTTTTATGTAAATATCTTTACCTGCATGTAATATCAGTGACCTAGATACCGCAAGACCAGTGTAAAAAAAACATAGAGTTTCTCATGCAACTGGGCCCAGTACCACGAGGTTTAGGAGTCCATTATTATATATTATATTTTTAAAAAGTTTTTTTGCTTTATTTTGAAAGAAAAGTTTGGTTCTTAAGTCACGCATACGGGCCAAGAATTACTTGTTACTCTATTGTTTAAAATGAATTTAACCCATGCAGTAGCTTAGAAAGACTTTATACGTATATTAAGAAATAAAAGTTGTGCTGATTTGAGCCTGTAAAACAAAATATCCAAAAATATTTACAATCCTAACCCTAAAGGTGATGGCAATAAATTAGTATTTTTTTTATTTTAATATTTTCTAACATGATATTGAAAACGACAGGTTTTAAAATTCAAAAAAATAAATAAACTAATTTTTTGATGTTTAAAAATTATGATGAGGTAGATTGTACATCCAAACCAAATGAAAGTATCTTGAAATGATGCAAGCAAACCCCATAACTAAAAAAGCATATTTGCAATTATAAATAAAAGTAACTTCTAAAATAGAGATATAATTAAAATGCATAAAATAGTTTTTACAAATAAAACTATCATCACCGTTTCCAAAAAATAAATCCTTGTACATCTTTTTTGATTTAAAGCCAGCACAAACTTTTTTACTTAAATCAGTCATTACCCTGGTACCCGTAAAAAAAACCCGTAAAAAAAGTCAATTAAAAATTTTCATTTTAATAATTTTTTTTATTTAGAATACACTGTTTTCGAAAATCCTAAAAGTTGTAAAACCCACTCATGTTAACAAACACACAAAAATTTCGAGTAAACAAACTTAAAAAACGGTACGAGAATCAAGCTGTTTTTTTGAATAGATTTTATATTTTGTTATGTTTTTGCAAACTGAAATGATTGTCTTGAAATAAAAACTGCTTAATACACTAACTATTTTGATTTATTATTTTTACTTTAGTTTTAATAAGTAGTTATTGGTAAAATGGCATATCATTGCGTTGTGAAAAAATGTTCAAATGGACGCTATATATGTAGAAAAGAAGATATTCGATGTAATTGTGCATCGCCTTTTCATTTATTTCTTTTTCCAACTATCAAAAAATCTCCCTCCTAATGTGAAATTTGGATCAAACTAATTAACCGCTTAAACACTACTGGGACAAATGATTTTTTCTGCCCAAAAAAAAGATGCACGAGTTTGTTCTAATCATTTTAAAGATAAAGAGCCTAATATAAAAAATCCTTATCCCGCTGAGAACCTTGTATATAATTCTAGGCATAAAGTTGCTCTTTTGTGCCCTAGCTCTTGACCTCTAAATAGAAACAGTATAAAAAATACTGACTGCACACAGCCTTTACTTAAAAAATACAAATCAAATGTAAAGTCTAATACATACTTTAATACAATAGTTGATCAAATCAAGACACAAAAACTCTGTTGACTTTATGATTGAACCAGTACCAGTGGTAGTAGTAGATAAAGAAGAAAATAATATTAATTCATTTTTTAATCATAATGAGTTCACTCAAGCTAAAGAATCAACTTTTTTAATAAGTAGCTTGAAAAAAACTATTGACAAATTACAAAAATTAAATCACAATCTTCTTTTTCAAAACAAAAAATTACAAATTATAATTAAAAACAAAGTCAAAAATAAACTTCAAAAAAAAGTCTTCAAAAAAATATTAACAAATGACAAGAAGTGTAACTTTTACACAAACATTCCTGCCCTAAAAGTTTTTCACATTCTTCACGACCTTATAAAACCAATTGTACATCGTCGATTTAATTACAAAACTGAAATGAAATGTTCTCTTAAATAAAACCTTAATAAAATGACACCAAAAAAACTTGGAAGATGCAGAAAATTATGTTCGCAAAATGAGTTTTTACTTGTTCTTATGAAATTTCGTCTTAGACTTTTAAGCAATGACCTAGTTAATAGGATTAGTGTTTCTCTTGGCACTGTTTCAAAAATATTTAAATCATGGATTAGAGGCATATCACAGTATTTAAAATCATTTGTTTACTTTCCAGACGAAGAAAATGTTCGCTTGAACCATCCTGATCGTTTAAAAATAATCAAAGTCTGTTAAGAATATTAGATTGCTCTGAAATTTTTATTGAAACACCAAAAGATTAAGAACTGCAATCTCCAACATGGTTTGAGTACAAGCACCACAATACATTGAAGTTTCTTGTATCAGTTACATCTAGCTCTTTCATAAATTTTGTTTCGGAAGCATATACTGGAAGAATATCAGATATGGCAACAACATTGGATTGTGACTATCTTACAAAATTCCCTCCTTATTCTTCAATCATAGCTGATAAAGGTTTTAATATTGCTAGTGAGTGTGCTGCTTATAGGATTACCTTTATTTCCCCACCTGGAAAAATGACATTATCGTGATTTGTGCAGTTCTTTTCGATTTTAATCATGAAATAATATTTTATCGATGCTCCAAAACAAAATTTTGTTAGTCCAAGTATAAATATATATACATATATATATATATATATATATATATATATATATATATATATATATATATATATATATATATATATATATATATACATATATATAATATATATATATATATGCATACAATATATATATAGTACATATATCTTCGTAATAGTTCTTCATAACTGAACTTTATGAATTCAAAAATAACCTAATATTTGATAGTTAACAAATTAGTATTCCTTTTTTAAACTTGCAAATAACTAACATTAAAATTGCACTCCAAATAGTTTAAAATTAAGCGCGCAGATTCTCATTTTATTTCTTAAAGGAAGTTTGATAAATTGATAAACTTTTTCAAAACTTTAATGATTATATGATAATTTAGTACATGCTTTATCCAAGTAATAATCTATAAAAAAATTATATATTATATAAAAATTAAATATAATGCATATTATATATATATATACATATATATATATATATATATATATATATATATATATATATATATATATATATATATATATATATATATATATATATTATATATAATATACATAATATATATATATATATATATATATATATATATATATATATATATATATATATATATATATATATATATATATATAT